AAGTTCTGTGCATAATATAGGTGCAAGCCTAATAAGGTAAAGTAACATATTATTGTCACTTGAATTGCACTAATAATATAAAACTTTCCTTACACTGCATATTACTTAAATTCTTTCCAATAATATAAGCATCGAGTAATAAATGTACAAGTTAGAAAAGCTACGCCTATATATATGCGTACACGTACAAGTTTCGTCTGTGTCTCATTCTGTTTTAACATTCCATCTATCTCCGGCATTTTCTAGGCCATCGCCGGCAGCCAATTCCTCCCGGCATCCGGCGTCTGGCGTCGTCGTCAACATGCAGAGGTTTGTAATAAGAAGAGCAAGATGGTTTGGAGAGGTACGAGGTGGATCACAACGTTGTTATTCTCAATTAGGCCTTGCATCCAAAAAGGACGATGATATGATCACACCTCGGATGCCTCATTTCGACTACTCTCCTCCGCCGTACGACGGGCCCGCCGGCGATGAAATTTTGAATAAACGGAGAGAGTTTCTTAGCCCTTCCATGTTTTACTTCTATGAAAAACCGGTGAGTAATTTATCGTTATGTTAAATTGATGATCAGTTTTAAATAAATATATGACAAAATATAAATAATTTATATAATAAGTGGGCCTAACTAATAATATAATTTGGGACAGACGTAGTTGATTATATGTTGTTTGAACACAAAGATACATTTTTAATGGTTTTGGTTGTGCTGGGATAGATTATTTAATGTTATCTAGCTTAAATTCATGCATGTGTTCACTATTCCGACGCTGAAATCCATAACAATAATTATGCCTTAATCCCAAACAAGTTGGCTTGGCAATTCACTTTATTTAAGCTCATTTCGGTCTAATTATCTATATTATTATAAAAGCACAAATAATTTACGCCAAATGTTGTACGATAAAAATATCCCTGAAATATCAACCTAGTAGTCTCTAGGCAAGAAAGTCTTAGTAAATCTGATTAGGTAATCCGGCGAACTATTTTGAGTTCTGTTTCTATTTGTATTCGTTCATATAAAGTTTCATCTTCAGATTCGGTGTTATATTTAACACACCAGTTAACTATGGTTATTACTAGTCTGAGAATTACCAGATTCAGTATTCTTTTATTTTTGACATTATTCACTGTATATTGAGATTGAGATGGTGCTTTGAGATGATTGTGGTTATTATGTACAGCTGAATCTGGTACATGGGAAGATGCAATACTTATATGACGACAATGGACGTAGATATCTTGATGCATTTGGAGGAATTGCAACTGTATCTTGTGGACACTGCCACCCTGATGTGGTAGAAGCCATCATAAATCAAACCAAACGCTTACAGCACTCCACCATCTTATACCTCAATCACACAATCACCGATTTTGCTGAGGCACTTGCTTCTAAGTTGCCTGGTGATCTCAAGGTATAGACTTCCTTATCCTTTCACTTATTATCTAACACCAACTTATGCCTACAGCGTTTAACTTCTATATACGGAAAATGTAAAAAAGCTTTGACACAACCAGGTCAGATAACTATAGATAACTACTTAGGCTGTTATCTGCTATAACAGGTCTTTAGATTGGATTGCCAGTGTATATAAGTTAAATCCATGTCTACAACTTAATTATGACAGATCACTATTGCTTTTTCAGGTTGTGTTCTTTACTAATTCTGGGACCGAAGCAAATGAGTTAGCAATGATGATGGCAAGACTATACACGGGTCGACATGATATCATCTCTCTTAGGAATGCTTACCATGGAAATGCAGCTGCAACTATGGGCACCACTGGGCAAAGCATATGGAAATTCAATGTAGTACAGGTACAACTTCCAAATCTGCATATTGGTTATTCCTCTGTGTTTGCTTTATGAATTACCATCAATATTTCCTATGCAGAATGAATTTGCTTGACCATTTTAATGTGAAAAGATCACATCCCTGTTATGTATGCAACCATCTAAGTTGTTATCAGATAACTATTGTAAGGTTACCGGACATGAGTAAATTGATTACTCTGTTATTTTACTTGGTGTGTTATCTTCATCAAGATATTACAGTTAGCCTTATTATGTTGGATAACTAATCTGTTGTTCCTATCCATTCTAAAGGCACATACGATTATCTATTAGTATTATCAGAAAACATGCAATAGTGATAGCATATGATGGTGCTATAATGTACAATGCATTGTTATTTTTGTTACTCGTCTCTTATTCACTTGCTCGTTGATTTGGTGATCAGAGTGGAGTTCATCATGCCATAAACCCTGACCCATACAGAGGTGTTTTTGGTTCTGATGGTGAGAAGTATGCGAAGGACGTTGAAGATCTTATCCAATTTGGAACATCTGGAAAAGTTGCTGCTTTTATGTCCGAATCCATACAGGTAATCATCCCTCACTGATATCAACTTGTCCGTCTAAATTAATACAACATCGCGTGCATTATCTTCTAAGAATTTCCCTTTTAAGTGTAGGGAGTTGGTGGAATTGTTGAATTGGCTCCTGGTTACTTGCCTGCTGTATACAACATTATACAAAAAGCAGGAGGCCTTTGTATCGCAGATGAGGTTCAAGCTGGATTTGCTCGCATAGGAAGCCACTTCTGGGGATTTGAGAACCAAGGAGTGGTTCCTGACATAGTGACAATGGCAAAAGTCAGTCTCTTCCGCGACCTCTCTTTCTTTGTTATATGCGTGCATTACTAATGATATGTTTCGATGAATTATTCTCTAAATCTCCTATACTTGGTGCTAAAAGAGACATCCATCTCTTGATTATGATTTATGAACTTCTTAATTATGTTCCTGTTAATTGTTATATCCAGGGCATTGGAAATGGAATACCACTTGGGGCTGTGGTAACAACTCCTGAGATTGCACAAGTCTTGACTCAGCATAATTACTTCAATACATTTGGTGGAAACCCTGTGTGCACTGCTGCAGGACTTGCTGTTCTTAAAGTGATCGAAAAAGAAAAGCTTCAAGAAAATGCCCATGTTGTTGGTTCCTACTTGAAAGAGCGGCTTTTGGCTATCAAGGATAAGTATGAAAGTAAGATTTTTCATTCTCCTTTCACCCTTGTGATTATTATTACCTCAACCGGAAGATGATCAAATCTCTCTTTTTAAGGCAACTGTGCATCTATGTGATCTTATTGAGTTAGTGGATTCAGAATGAGAATGGATAGAAATGCACAGTTGCCTGAATCTAATTAAAATGTATACATATAATAAGATCACACTCATTCTGAATCCACTAACTCAAGATCCTAGATTCTCCTATGTTCTTATATTAACAAAAGCCTCAACATTGACATTTATGCAGTTGTTGGTGATGTGAGGGGAAAAGGACTGATGCTTGGTGTTGAACTAGTCACTGACCGCGAACTGAAAACTCCTGCGAGAGCTGAAACTCTGCATATCATGGACAAGATAAAAGGTAAATTAATTTTGAATATTCATCCTTTTGACATGGCTTTAATCAAATCTTACATATTAACAAAGTTCACCTAATTTTTGGCTTGAAGATATGGGAGTATTAGTTGGCAAGGGTGGATTCTATGGAAATGTCTTCAGAATTACACCTCCACTATGTTTCACTAAAGAAGATGCAGGTAAAGGAATCTGTCACATTTTTATCCAATTCAAGCTCTCAGTTTCCTTTTCTTATTTATATTCAACTCAATAAGTTTCAACAATAAAATTTGATTGCAGATTTTCTAGTGGATGTCATGGATTGTGCACTGTCAAAGATATAAGAACTCTTCACTACAGCTTGACTATTACATTTTCTCCTATATATGATGGTTAAGATATGTTAATGTCATAGTTAAATTGAATATATATACAGATTTTATATTCTTATGTCAGTTGCAAATTAACAATCAAATGTATCTATATGGACTGATTCAGTACGTACAGTATCTAGTGATCATATAATGAGTCAACAACTCGTTGTCTCCAGACATCCTGTCTTGTTTATCTTTCTCAGCGAGCACACCATCTTGTCACCTGCAATCATATCTCCTACGACCCTCAATATACCAAAAGATAATATTAGCAAGACAATGCGACTAAGATATTGACTCAAAACCAACATTAATTAATATTTAATTCTCATGGTTTATGATTGAACATAAGTTTAGTTCAATGAACATAGGTTTATTGAACTCAAAGTGTTGCTGTCTGCTTTATCTTTACTTAGTGACGAGTCAGCAATTAGTTAACAATTTTAGATGGCATGGCAGTCACATCGCATAGACGTAGATGTCGAGGTTTGACAAATATACAATGATTTTTTGATTCGTCGCTTAATATTTTTAAATTTTATTTTTACACTTATATAATATTTATTAATGACAATGATTTTCTTACCATCATATTATGTTTTCTTTTTAATTTTTGATTCTTTGTGAATTCTGGAACTAAGACAGCGTTATAATTTTGAAAAAAACTTTAATTTGGTATTTTTGATATTCAACTTGTTAACAATTGTACTAAAATTAAATCTAAGTAAATCTGATATGGTTCACACTTCACATTTCCTTCTCTGATTTTGATTTAATTTTGATTCAATTGGTTCATTCAATAATTCATTTTAATTATTAAAAGTAAAGAAATGGTACTACATTGTTTCAATACATCTTACATGTTTCATTGTCTTTTTATTGATTGTGATATTGCTATACTTTTTTTTCTTTGTATCAAAACTCATGACATAAAAAAGGTATACGAGATGGTCTTTGTTTTATTTATACATATCTCCAAAAAAATATTTCAATACACAAGTTATAAATGGGTGATGCAAAGGCAAGAGGACGTGATCTACCTAATTATTTTTTGTTGCTAATCATGAAGTTCATATGTTCTAACTACTAAATTAAATTTATGAATTAACCCAAATATTATATTATTTATAGAGGAAAAGGGTGTTTTCTTTCTCATTTAAATTAAAAAGAGATAATATCTTCAAGCATACTAATCTTTTTATAAATTCACTTGCATTCTTTATGATCGCGCGAAATATCCTCAATATGTAATATTCATTTTCCTTTTCCTTCGCCTTCAATTCCCTTTTTGTTGCTTCTTGTCGCCGCAGTGTATGTTGTTCTTCCTCTCTCTTCCCTCTTTCCCGTGTACATGCGCCTACTCCCCCAGTACCTCCTTCTAGGGTTTAGCAGAACACTATTTGAAGCTTTACAATGCTGGATTATCCTTCCTGTTATGATTTTTCTGTCCAAAATTTGTTCGTTGAGGTCAATTTTTGAGCTTTGAATGGCATTGGGAGATTTGATGACTTCTCGGTCCTCGCAATCATTGGCGACAGTTATTGTGGAGGACTTTGCGAATCACGAAGAGAGGATTAGTAATAGGGATTCAGAGACTGCTCATAGTAGCTATATTGCTGACAATGCGACTACGACGATGACGACAAGTATGGCTTATATGCCGCAGAATATACTGTTTTGTGAGCTTCGGCATGACCGGTTTGAGGAATATGTTCCGTCTGGACCGTCTCGTACTGGTTTAATCTCCAAATGGCGGATTAAGCATCGAGTAAGATGTGATTCTTTTCATTTACACATCTTAGTTTTTGTCAATTTTGTAGTAGTAGAAGATACTGTGTGAATTTGGAAGCACATTAATCATTGGTGACGTTAGATTAAATGTTTAGGTACTTCCTTGAATAAATGTTTCTTCTCCATATGAACATTGATTGTTCTATTCGTCTTCCTGGTACTATGGGTGCAAAGAGGTCCCTGATCAATGCATTTATGAACGTATGGATAATGGTTGGCCTCTTGAATTGGTTTATGCACTGAGGTTTTCAAAATTTCTCCCACAAATTATCAATTATGACCCTCTAGCACTTATAAAAAAATAACTGTCTTCTCCCTAGGTGGAAGGTCCACCCGTTTTTTATATTTGTTAAAAGTAGTATGTTAATTGCAGTGACAAGTACTGTAGAAATAATTACAGGGTGGCTACATTAGGAATTATGTAATGAGTTTCAGAATTATCAACCATGTCCACAGTGTCATTTGCAAGAGTCACACCTTTTTTTGGACTCTTGCATTCTTTTCGTCCCAAATAGTCCATCAAATCACTGAAGGAATGGTATTCCAGATTTTCCTTTTTATCTTGCCCAAACCTCGCAGCTGTCAACACTGTAAAAGCTCATTTGTTGTCATTGGCATTACCCATCTAACTCCTAAAATGTTGAGAAAAAAGCCCCATACCTGCATGGTGAACAAACAATGTAGAAATAAATGATTGGCATCTTGGGTTTTTTGGTCACATTGCAAACATTTGCTGCATATGTTGACTTCCCTTTTCTGAAGATTGTTGTGTGTAAGACAGGGATTGTTGTGTGTAAGACAGGCACCTCTTGCCACCAACCAAGAGAAACATTCAACTTTCAATGGTGCCATATTTTTTCAAATGCATCTCCAAGGCCAATTTATATCGGGGGGACTTTAAATGCTTTAACGAAGAACAAACCTTTTGTATTTCTATTCCACCTCAAATTATCAGGTGTAGACAGTAGGGGAGGAACATGAAATTGTGAAAGCATAGAGGCAAGACTGCTCGTCTCCCAGTCAGTAATATTGTGTTTGAATGTGATACTTCAACCAAAAACATATCAATATTCTGCTAATGATGCTTCCTGATTTTGTACCAAAGTAAACATGCAAGGATATTGATTCCTTAACGGAGAAGTACCCAGGCATGCATCATTCTAGAATCTCTCACGCCATTGCCAACTCCTATAGATGAAAGGGATCAAAAAGCTTACTAGTGAGCCCCACATGCCTCCAGGCGTGACATTTGCTAGGAATACTAGATTGTTTGGTGATCGATAGATTAAGAAGACCAAATTTTGTTACAAGGACATTTCTCCATAGTGCTCCTTCTTTGTTAAACCTCCGGGCCACTTGTATGGTAGACTAATGCTATGAGCCCTCAAGTCTTGACCCAAACGTCCTGCTTTTTTATCGGTAAATACCCCCCCCCCCCCTAGTTTACCAGGTTAAAATGTCGTATGTTCTTTATTACCTTGCCACATGAAATCTCTATTTAGTTTATCCATTCTTTGCACCACAGAAGCCGGTAGAGGGAACAAGAACATAGTGCATGTGAGTAGGGAATCTATTACACTATTGATTAGCACTAGCCTTCTCCCAAGTGAGAGATATTTCTTCTTACAACAGGAGAGTTGCTTTTGACACTTCTCCAAGATATCATCCGAAATTGCAGTAGTATTCACCTTGTTTCCCAAAGAGAGGCTCAAATATTTGGTAGGGAGGGAATCTACTGTACAATCCATAATGCTTACAATCTCCTATGGGGGAACATCATTTACAGGCAAAGAACACTCTTGGAGTAATTAAGCCTTCCATGACAAAAGTGAAAAGAAAAGGAGAGGCGGGATCTCCTTGTCTTAAGCCTTTGTATGATGCAAAGAAACCTTTTGGGAGATTCATTTATGATAATGGGCAACTTTACAGTGGAGATGCAAAAGTGAATCCATTTGACCCATTTTTCACCAAAGACCATAGACTTTAGCATGTTGATAAGGAATCCCAATGCACAATATCAAAAGCTTTCGGAATGTCTAGCTTACACAAAATTCTAGCCTTTCCTTGCATCAGTTTGCAGTCAAGACACTCATTTACGATAAGAGAAGCATCTGTTATCTGTCTGCCACTCACAGGAGCCGTTTGGGGAAGGGGAAACCAGCTTGCTCATAACTGTTTTAAGTCTGTTAGCAAGAAGTTTGACAGCACCTTATAAAAATTACCAATCAAACCTATTGGTCTATAAACCTTTAGCTTAGCACCTGCTTTCTCGGGAATAAGAGCAATATATGAGTCATTTAGGCTTCTTTCAATACTTCTATGGGAATGAAAATGGTTTATGGCTTTGATAAAGTCATGTTTAATCTCGGGATATTTTATTTTCCAGTTGTGATTTACACCTTGAAAAAAGTTTATGTGAAAAAGTTAAGCTCTCACCTAGACCTCTAATCTAGTAGAGCTTGGTGAGACGAGGCTGTTATGTACTGATGTCTTAGTTTCTTTTTATCATTTCCTAAATTTTTAATGACAGTTTCTCTAATGGTAATGTATCTTGTGTGCCCTTTCTGACTTTTGCTAAATTGATGTTACTCAATAATCTGGTGTGCGTGCTTTAACCTTGTAGTGCTTTAGTTGCTACTATCTTCTTCAACTTAAGTAACCATTGAAATAAAAATGATTTAAAGATGTATTATGTAATTATTTTCGTCTTTGCGTAAAAGGTTGTTTAGAGATGCTTTATTTAGACCCAAAAGAAAAGGTTGATTTTAAGATGTTATTGCAGCACAACAGTTTTGCAAATTTTTGAAGATAAGATTTGGATTTTCAAATGCTTGATTAGATTTATTTATACCTGTTGCTCGTTGTATTATGTAAAAAGAGAAAATCTTACACATGTAGTACTTGATGACCTTTTGTTTCTATCTTATTTTTTGAGCTAGCTAGTATCTTACAGAGCAATGAGCTTCGTTCTCATAGAGTAAACAAATGTTTGATATCTTTACCTCTATTACATCTAAGCGTACAAAACGTTTTGCAGATGAAGACGGGATGTGTTGCCCTTCTGTTGTGTTTGAACATCAGCGTTGATCCACCTGATGTAATAAAGATATCTCCTTGTGCTCGAATGCAGTGTTGGATTGGTACGCTAAAATCTTCTTCTTTTGCTTCTAAAAGAACAAGTTTTTCTTCTTCTTTTTGCTACTATTCCTTATCTTTTTAGACACGGTGAATATTTTACTGACGTGATTACTCAGGTATAGGGGCACACAAGATGTAAATAGTTATGCACAAAGATATGATTCTCTACGAAGAACACCAAATCATCTATGCTAACTGGACCTCATTGGTGCTCTAAAAATTGAGTAAAACCAAAAGACATGCTACTTAAGTAGTATCCACCCTTAAAAAGTTCACATGCTGCTGGTGGGAGGTAGCAGGTAGTACCCTGTAGATTTAGTCGAGGTGTACGCAAGCTGGTCCGAACACCAAGATTTTAAAAAAAAATCTCATGTTTCTTTCTGTTCATACAACTTACATTAAGGCCAAAGGTGTTACATCCTAAGCTCTACACCTCCTTTACCTTCGTTTGAAGGCCCAATTGAATAACAAATCCTTGATTGTGATTTCTGTCATCCACTGGATGCAGAAAGAGTTTAACACAGTTAACCATAACTGATTTTCAACCTGATAGTGTAACAGTAGGTGATCAATCTCTCATGTAGCACCAACTGACCTATGTAGTCCTTTCTTCCTCTAGTTTTTCATTGTGAGATGGTCTCCCTTACTGCTAACCAAGTGAAAAAACAGATCTTATTTGGAGTTTTGAGAATGCATGCCCATAAGTGTGGGAAGGAAAGGTGTTACAATTAGGAGCTTATACTCTGACATGTAAATTCAAGGCTCTTTTGCAAAATTTCGCATGTCATATCACAGGAGTATATGCTCCTAATTGTGACACTGAGAGGAAAGCTGTATGGGGGGAAATAGGGGCAGTAAGAGGATTGATGGAAGGGCCATGGGCTGTTTGTGGTGACTTCAATGTCACTAGATTTCCCTCGGAAAAAAGGAATTGCAACAGAAGGTCTAGAGCTATGGTGGAGTTCTCAGATTTTATCGAAGACATGGAACTTATTGATCTCCAATTAGAAGGGGGAACTTATACTTGGTTCAAAGGAGATAATCAGATCATAGCATCCAGAATTGACAGAATCTTAATTTCAGAAGATTGGGATGACAGATTCAAGAACATAAAACAAGTAGTCCTACAAAGGCTGATATCAGACCATGTTCCTATCTCACTACAGTGTGGGCCTTGGGAGCAAACCAAATCCTACTTTAAGTTTGATAATTGGTGGTTGAATACTGAAGGCTTTATAGACAGGATCAGAGAATGGTGGACCTCTTTTGAATTTCACGGGAGGCCCAATTATGTGTTAGCATGCAAACTCAAAGCTTTAAAGGGCAAACTCAGAGAATGGAGCAAAAGTAGCCAAGGAAACTTGGGGGTTCAAAGAACCAAGCTTCTAAAACATTTGGCAGTCTTTGATGCCATTCAAGAAACAAGAGCATTGACTGAGGAGGAATCCCTCATGGAATATGAGGAACATCTGAAAAATGAAGAAGTTGCATGGAAGCAAAGATCTAGGGCTCTGTGGCTTAAGGAAGGAGACAGGAACACTAAGTTTTTTCACCAAATTGCTAATGCGCGTAAAAGATGCAACAACATCGATCAACTAGTGGTGAATGATGAAACAATTGAGGAACCTGGGAGAATCAAGCTTGAGATCATTGAATTCTACAAGAATCTTTATTCAGAAGCTATGGAATGGAGACCTGAAGTCAATTTCGGCAACTGTCCCACAATATCAGAAGAAGAAAAAGAGCTTCTACAAAGCAACTTTGAAGAACAAGAAGTGCTATCTTGTTTGAAGCTATGTGCAGTAGATAAGGCTCCAGGGCCTGATGGATACACTATGGGTTTCTTCATAAAATGTTGGGACATTTTGAAACAAGATATCATGGAGGCTCTCCATAATTTCCATTCTCAGGAATTGTTTGAAAGAAGCTTCAATGCAACATACATAGCTTTGATTCCTAAGAAGATTGGAGCTAAGGAACTCAGGGACTTCAGGCCTATAAGCTTAATAGGCAGCTTTTATAAGCTGCTTTCGAAGATTCTAACAGAGAGACTCAAAAGGGGGATTAACAAATTGGTGGATGCACAGCAGATGGCTTTTATCATAGGAAAACAAATAATGGATGCTGTTCTAATAGCCAATGAAGCAGTAGATTCAAGAAACGAACTAAAAAACCCAGGAATTTTGTGCAAACTAGACATTGAGAAGGTATATGCTCATGTGAATTGGAGATTCTTGTTGAAAATGCTGGAACTAATGAGTTTTGGGAAGAAATGGATCAACTGGATGAGAGCTTGCATATCTTCAGTTAAATTCTCCATTCTCATTAATGGATTCCCAGAAGGTTTCTTCCCTGCACAAAGAGGACCCAGACAAGGAGATCCCCTATCTCCTTTTCTCTTCATAATTGCTATGGAGGGGCTGAACAATATGATCAAAACTGCAAAAATCTATGGATGGATCAAAGGTTTCGAGGTAGCAAGAAGGGGCAACAACAATCTGTAGATTACATATCTCCAATATGCTGACGACACTCTAATTTTTTGTGATGCAAAAGAAGAACAGTTGAGGTATTTGAGAATCATCCCGGTCTTGTTTGAAGGTACCTCAAGATTGCATATCAATTGGAAAAAAAGTTATCTGTATCCAATCAATGATGTGCCTGAGATGGAGCAACTACCACTGATTTTGGGAGGTGTAGTAGGATCTCTTCCTGCTATCTATCTGGGCATGCCTTTAGGTGCTAAGTCCAAGTCCAAGGAGATATGGAATACAGTCATTGAAAAATGTGAGAAGAAGTTATCCAGATGGAAAGCTCAGTACCTTTCTATGGGAGGAAGATTGATTCTGATCAATTCAGTACTTGACTCACTTCCTACATACATGATGTCACTCTTTCCCATCCATGTAAGTGTTATTCAGAGACTGGATAAACTCAGAAGATCTTTCCTTTGGCAAGGAAACACAGAAAAGAAGGGGTATCACCTAGTGAAATGGAAATCTCGGACGATTGTCAAAAACAAAGGTGGGCTAGGCATCAGGAACTTAAAAAATCAAAACAAGGCTCTTAAAATGAAGTGGTTACGGAGATTCTCTCAAGAACCTCAATCCTTATGGTGTAATGTCATCAAAGCTAAGTATGGAGAGGAAAACAGCTGGGTTTCAAAGGAAGTCAATACAACATATGGGGTTAGTTTATGGAGATCCATCAGAACACTCTGGCCTATATTGAAGAGCCAATCCTGCATCAGAGTGAAGAGTGGTACCAAAACTTCCTTCTGGAAGGATAATTGGACGGGATCTGGAAGCTTGATGGAACTATTTCCTGATATGTATGGTTTAGCTCAACACCAGCAAAAGACAATAGCTAAAATGTAGACCCCTCAAGGTTGGGATCTGATACTTAGAAGAAGGCTGAATGACTGGGAGCTGACGAGGTTGACTGAACTTTACAAGCAACTGGAAGCATTCAAAGGCCTTCAGAATGGTAGGGATGCACTATGGTGGAAGGGCCACAACAGAGGAATCTACAAGGTGAATGAGGCTTACAAGATGCTTAATCATACTAATGTATAAATCACTAACTGGCCATGGAAACATATCTGGAAAGTTAAGATACCTTACAAGGTATCTTGTTTCACTTGGTTACTTGCAAAGGAGGCAGTCTTGACCTAGGATAATCTTATGAAGAGAGGGATTCCACTGTGCTCTAGGTGTTTTTTATGTGGGGAAACAGTTGAGATGGTTAGCCATCTATTTCTACACCGCAGGATCACAGATCAACTATGGAAGATATTCATTAACCTCAGAGGTTTTTGATGGACAATGCCCTCTAAGATTACTGAAGTGCTCACTAGTTGGGATGAAGCTGGAACTGGAGCTAGAAGCAGAGATAGATGGAGGACTGTCCCCGCATGTATATGGTGGACAATATGGAAAGAGAGAAACTCTAGATGTTTTGAGGATAGTAGCAATTCAATACAGAAGATCAAAATGAATTGTGTCCTACTTTTTTATTTTTGGTGTAAACAAAAGTGGCCAGAAGATACTGTATCGATCCTAGAAGTCCTAGAATACTGCTAGGATTGTAGCTCAGTACTCTATCCTTTTGCATATTGTAAATATGGTTTCAGTACAACCTATGTACTGTTATATATCAATACACACAAATGTTACCTTCTCAAAAAAAAATAAGTGTGGGAATAGTGGGAAAATTGTGATCCTTTCTACTCGACACCTTTGGTCGATGTGTTTTACTGATGCCCGCTTCTGATTTCATATTCAACATAGGCCTCTCCTAGTAAGACATTGTTCAACTTAGGCGAAGAGCTTGCCGTTATGATTTTTTTGGGGGTTTGTGGGGGGGATGAATAGCTTTCTAGTGCTCTGTTGTCAAAGCCTTTCTCTTGATTTTTCGTCCATCATGTCCAATCAAGAGCAATATGGGCAATCCTCCCGTTTCTTTCGTCTTGTTTCTCTAGATTATGTTCTCATTTTGGACATCTGTTACATTTTTTACTTACCTTTGGATTTCACTCAATACATCTTCCAGTGACAAATTCCTACACTCAATTTCCCTCTGCCAATTCTTACACCCCGCCTTGTTCTTTCATGATTTTAACCCTCTAATGTGAAGTCTCCTGCCCCCTAGGAATCTCTCCCCTCTAGCTTTTGCCCTTTTGTAAATAATAATCTTTGCAGGTTCTTCAGGACTCTCAGTCCGTCACATAGCATTTGCTGAAGGTTCTGTGCCATACTTGTGGAGTAGCTTTTTGGGAACCTTTGTAGTATTTCTGGTCTGTGTTCATGTTGTTGCTTATGTTATCACTATGACAACACAATAGTTGATAGTACTTCTTGTCTGATCTGTTGTTTTACTCGAATCTATTTTGGTATCAGCTATCCTGGCTTAGTAAACAGTTTATATTCTCTTGGGGAGGGGGGATGAATTTAGTTAATATTTTACCTCTTAGTTGCATTCAGCAATTTTCAAATCCTAGTGCTTGAAAATTTTGTCAACCAGCATTTATTTAAGCACTTGCTCTTATTCCCATATGACAGATCCATTTTCTGTGGCACCTCAAAAAGCCCTTGAAACAATTGGGAGAACATTGAATGAACAATATGAGAGGTGGCAACCTAGGGTAAGCAAAATGTTTTTGTGTTAATAGATATCATGCGTGGACAAGGTCTAGGCTGTATTATTGTGGTGAGGTAATCAATAATTTAATTATAGATGACCCAAATATCTAACTATATGTAGGCACGCTACAAGATCTCCTTGGATCCTACTGTTGATGAAGTTAAGAAACTTTGCACAACATGTAGAAAGTATGCCAAGTCGGAACGAGTTCTGTTCCATTATAATGGACATGGTGTGCCGAAACCAACATCCAATGGTGAAATTTGGCTATTTAATAAGGTTTTCTTTCTTACTCAAATTGATTTCTCAGAGCTGTTGTGATATCTGTCTTTTTCTTATTGGGACATCTGGTTTAGAGTTATACGCAGTATATCCCATTGCCGATTACAGACCTGAACTCTTGGTTGAAGACACCATCGATCTATGTCTTTGACTGCTCAGCTGCTGGGATGATTGTTAATACCTTTTTAGAGGTACATATTGTAATAATGCATTACATGCTTAACGATGAGGTGATCTACCCATCTGCTAAAAAAGGCTGATGGAAGGAGACACAAAATTTAAGGCTAATCAGTTACCTGGTGATTTGTTTAATGCAGCTCCAAGACTTGACTGTCTCTGATTCCTCTGCCCCTTCTACAAGAGATTGTATTCTGCTTGCTGCTTGTGAAGAACATGAGACACTTCCTCAAAGTGCTGAATTTCCTGCTGATGTTTTTACTTCCTGCCTCACAACTCCAATCAAAATGGCATTGAGATGGTGACATGCTCTCAGCAAGAGTTGTTTATCCTTTATCCTTCCCCACTTTTTCCTGCTTTCTCCTAAACCTGGTCAATTCTACAATGGGGCGAACTAGCTGCAATACTTGATTGTTGGAAACGTTGGCATACCTTCAGTGGGTTTGGTTCCCAACTGATGGAATATTATGTTTTTCTCTCTTTATGGTATTCCATAAATTATCTTAAACAGCATGTCTTATTTAACCATATATTTGGAAAGTTAGAACAGCCTTTCTCACCAAAAGAATACTTGAGCAACAGGACAAGTCTCTTTGAAGCCCCAAAGTTACATGGCACCTCATATTTCAGGAACCACATGGTTGTCTATTATGCCAATCGTTGCTATAGATTAATATGCTGTCTTAGGGAATTTCCACTTTGTATGTTTGAATATACTCTTAGTTATCTGTGCCTGCTTCAAGTTTGATGTTTGTTGTCAGAATTCCTTGATAAGCTGCTATTTTCTTTCAACCGTTATGACTAATCTTTTATTTCAAAAGAAATGCTTTGTGTACCGAGCTGCCTTTTTGTTTTCTTTTTCTTTTTAGCCTTTTGGTCAAATATGTTATAATCTACTTAATTCTGTTTTTGGCTGTTAGGTTTTGCACACGGTCATTGATTCGTGAGTCACTTGATTATGGTCTAGTAGATCGAATTCCTGGACGCCAAACTGATCGAAAGACACCTCTTGGTGAATTGAATTGGATTCTCACTGCAGTAACTGACACAATTGCCTGGAATGTTCTACCACGAGGTAATGTGATAGACTAGTTAGTTTGATGCAGTTTTCTTAATCCTTTTTGCAGTTTAAACTCTTTCTAATCTGTGAGCTTCAAAACCACAGATCTATTTCAAAAATTGTTCAGGCAAGACCTATTAGTTGCTAGTTTATTCAGAAATTTTTTACTTGCTGAAAGAATCATGCGTTCTGCAAATTGTTCACCAATTTCATACCCAATGCTACCACCTACTCATCAACACCACATGTGGTAACTACACGAAACACTCAACAATCTACTCAAATTCATGTATTACCTTCCCCTCATTGGGGTCTGCACTTGTCTCACAGGGATGCTTGGGACATGGCAACAGAAATCTGCCTTTTGCAGCTTCCTACTTTGATTGATGATCCGAATGTGGAATTTCAGGTGGGGTAATGATTTGATTGTATACTATATTCTCAAAAATTTGGTCCATGTATCTTTTCAAGATTAAATGTTTCCCATCTTTTGATTTCTTCAGCCTAGCCCATTCTTCACGGAACAGTTGACAGCTTTTGAGGTTTGGCTTGACCATGGATCAGAGAATAAAAATCCACCAGAGCAGTTGCCCATTGTTCTACAGGTAAGAATTCTTATGGTTCAAATAAAAGGAATGGCATTCTTGGTTCTTCTTACCATGAAATGGTGGCTTTAAGTAGTGCATGTTTCCTCATTCCCGCACTCCTTTCAATTCTTATGACTTAATATGATGAAAATGTGGAGTGAAAACATTTGGTTGCTAGCATTCTTGTTCCTTGATGAAGCCTCAATTGACCTCTGTGCATTTGCTTAAATTTGGTTAATCGGAGAATTTTTTTGGATATCATGCTAAAATTTAGAATAATAGAATGTTCTCATGTAAAGAGAAAAATAACCAGAATGTCATTTCATTACGTGAGGAATGGTTATCTCTCTTATATTACTTGACGAAGCCTCAGATGACCTCTCTGCATTTGCTTCAGTTTGTTTAAACAGGAGAATTTATTTTGGATATCATGCTAAAATTTAGAATAATAGAATGCTCTCATGTAAAGAGAAAAATAACCAGAATGTCATTTCATTACGTGAGGAATGGTTCTCTCTCTTATATTACTTGACGAAGCCTCAGTTGACCTCTCTGCATTTGCTTCAGTTTGTTTAAACAGGAGAACAATTTTCTGGATATTATGCTAAAATTTAGAATAATAGAATGTTCTCATGTAAGGAGAAAAAAGTAACCAGAATGTCATGTCATTATATGAGGAACAGTTAACTCTCTTATATTTACTTAAAAGGTCATCAAGTATTGGATACTCCTCTCAGCACAATTGGGTCTTCATTTGTTTCATGTTTTGCTTACTGTGTTTTTTTTGCTCGAGTAATCTAACAATCTATGGCAGATTATTGCACTATTTTTGTCAGTTCTGGTGTATCCCATTTCCCAACTATTGCAGAAGCAAATTACCACTAGGCAAGTAATTAAAGTTTCTGATGGTAAAACAGCAGAAGCATTGGTTTTAGTAATGTTAGTCTCAGTTAAAACAATTTCTTAGTTTTTTTTGGTAGGGTTTTCTCGAAGAATAGTCGGTACCATTCATTTCGCGAGCAAATATGTTTATTTGAATTGTGAAGTTTGTCTAGATTTACTTGGTATATATCCTCTTGACCCAACAGAAGGATGCATAAATTGAAAACCATAGTTCTCCCTAAGATACAAACTTATTGTGAATTATCTTGCGAATTTTTTCCTATTTATTAGGTTCTCTTCAGTCTTCACACCCTCGAGGGCTTTGTTATTTTGGTGCACTTTTCTCTTTGTATGGGATGATAACCAGGTTATTCTTTGTTATTAGGTGTTACATACTCAATGCCACCGGTTCCGTGCACTGGTTCTTCTTGGGAGATTTCTCGATATGGGACTTTGGGCTGTAGATCTGGTACTTATTGGTGGTGCTGCATTTCAAGTTTCTTGTTAATTAGGCTGGTTGCATACAACTTTCTGCGTCTAATTTTCAAGTAATACTTAAGTGAGCAATTTTACTTCCAGGTCTTGTCTGTTGGAATATTTCCTTACGTTCTAAAGCTTTTGCAAACCACGGCTCCAGAACTTAGGCAAATTCTTGTCTTCATTTGGACGAAGATCCTTGCCGTTGATAAGGTACATGAATTGCTTTGACTCATCACCTGTGTCATTCTCATATTAAATTTCCTATGTTTCATTTTTATCTATATTGTTCCCCATATAAATGTCTCACCATCTCTTTCTGGACCTATTTACCATAAGTTCAAAAATAATAGACACGGTAGAGAGAATAGAGAAAATGCAAGAAAAGTGTGCTTCCCCTAGATTGCAGTACACAAAACATGTTTAACTCTAGTAAACTTTGGGGACTCAGCATGTGGAGTTGATGCCTTTTTTTTTTTGTTTGACATTGGAACAACAGTTCCTGCACTGTCCCATGTCTTGGCAAATCTGGGGATTCTTCACTAACCCATTTAGTATTAACTGGTGAAAATCTTTCGATGTGATCTGCAGCTGAAAGACAGAGGATAAGAAGCAGCATAAGGCTCTATGAAATTCTATCAATCTGTGTTTAATATGCAATTTGGAACAAAATAAATATTAGATGCTGTGATGGGAAAGCAGGGGACCCTTCCACAACAATAATAACGTCTTAATCACAAATTAGTTTGGGTTGGTCATATGGAACCTCAGTATCCATTCTACTCCATTAGATCCATTTCGTTCTAGTACGTGATAATTTATTCCGATGCGAAATGCCAGACCACGAGAGTGTGCCAACATAGCTAAACCTTAATCACAACTCTTTAGTGTCGTTTATTTGGATCTTTTCTTTCCATTGCATTCTATTCTTAGCTAAATGTGTAAGGATTTTGAGAGAACTTTCTTTTATGTGAATTTAGGTCTACCATGCCCCTTGTTAACACCTTGAATCATCATAGTACACTTACGGGTGCATTTAAAGATCTTTGTAGGACATTGTTCATCTTAGACGACCTGTCAATTTTGTCCTGTGTGTGTGTTATTTGTACCTTCTATCTAAAGTGATTATTATGATCTTCTCTAACCTTGTATGACCAATCATCTTAATATTCGCATTTCTAAAATGCTCATCTTGTCGATATGCTGGGCCATAGATGCTCAACAGTCACTCTCATGTTACATTGCTTGTTCTGCAAATGTTGGATAAAATTTACCTTTTGCTTTGGTATGTATCTTCATATAGCAAAGCAATCCGGTAGAGCTCTTCCATTTCAGTGATCCTATTTGGGTTCTATGTATTACATCTTATAGTAAAAGGAGCTATAGTCTTTAGAGTGTCCAGTTGACAGAACTTTCTTAGTGCTGTTTCTATCAACAACACAACTTGCTTAAAAAGCAAGTGTTTAAGCACATACAGAAATTTTAGCTGTTACTCTTAATCTTATTTTGTTTTTGTGATCTTGGAAACAATCCATTTGGATGCTTGCTTCACTATGGTAATATCACCAATAGGAAGTTAGTTCCCAACTTTTGGGTTTTTTGAAATTCTTTTTTTTTTTCGGGTACAGAACATCTCAAATTAATACATAATCTGCTTTATCTAAGTAATGAACTTACAGAAAACAAAACCTCCGGCCACGTCCATCGACCAAGTACTTTGGAAAGGAAGAGATAACCGCTGGATTTACTCAAGTAGTTCTGTGTTTTTTATATTTTCTTAGTATATTGAAGATCTTGAATGCTTTCTTATTCTTTATTCCGGTGTTACCTGAATCTACCGATATCTTTGTGGAATCTAATATATTGATAGAGTATTTTGCTTTTCTCCTTCGTTTAATGCTTGTCGCTGTGTTTGTTCTTTCTTTGATCGAATATACTATGTAGAAACTATGTATATTAAAGTGTTCAAATTTCTTTCTTTTCTTTCAGAATCTTCGTGCTGTCATTTGTCTTAGATAACTATTCTCTACTAGTTTGTGTTTCTTGATTCACTCTGTGTGATCTGATCCTCTAGTTTAATATTCATTTGATTAACCTTTTCCTGTGAGAAAACAGTCTTGCCAGGTTGACCTTGTTAAGGATGGTGGACATGTGTATTTCATTAGATTTCTCGACAGTGTTGAGGCTTATCCAGAACAAAGGGCAATGGCTGCATTTGTCTTGGCAGTCATTATTGATGGTTACAGACAGGGTCAGGCGGCCTGTATTGAAGCAGGGCTAATTAATGTCTGCCTGAAGCATCTTCAGGGATCAATTCCTAATGATGCACAAACTGAACCACTGTTTCTTCAATGGCTGTGCCTCTGTCTGGGAAAGCTCTGGGAGGATTTCACCGAGGCACAAGTGCTAGGTTTGCAGGCAGATGCAAACCTAGCACTTGTTATGATCTAAAGTGATTATTATGATCTTCTCTAACCTTGTATGACCAATCATCTTAATATTCGCATTTCTAAAATGCTCATCTTGTCGATATGCTGGGCCATAGATGCTCAACAGTCACTCTCATGTTACATTGCTTGTTCTGCAAATGTTGGATAAAATTTACCTTTTGCTTTGGTATGTATCTTCATATAGCAAAGCAATCCGGTAGAGCTCTTCCATTTCAGTGATCCTATTTGGGTTCTATGTATTACATCTTATAGTAAAAGGAGCTATAGTCTTTAGAGTGTCCAGTTGACAGAACTTTCTTAGTGCTGTTTCTATCAACAACACAACTTGCTTAAAAAGCAAGTGTTTAAGCACATACAGAAATTTTAGCTGTTACTCTTAATCTTATTTGTTTTTAGTGTATCTTGGACTACAATCCATTTNAATTTTAGCTGTTACTCTTAATCTTATTTTGTTTTTGTGATCTTGGACACAATCCATTTGGATGCTTGCTTCACTATGGTAATATCACCAATAGGAAGTTAGTTCCCAACTTTTGGGTTTTTTAAAATTCTTTTTTTTTTCGGGTACAGAACATCTCAAATTAATACATAATCTGCTTTATCTAAGTAATGAACTTACAGAAAACAAAACCTCCGGCCACGTCCATCGACCAAGTACTTTGGAAAGGAAGAGATAACCGCTGGATTTACTCAAGTAGTTCTGTGTTTTTTATATTTTCTTAGTATATTGAAGATCTTGAATGCTTTCTTATTCTTTATTCCGGTGTTACCTGAATCTACTGATATCTTTGTGGAATCTAATATATTGATAGAGTATTTTGCTTTTCTCCTTCGTTTAATGCTTGTCGCTGTGTTTGTTCTTTCTTTGATCGAATATACTATGTAGAAACTATGTATATTAAAGTGTTCAAATTTCTTTCTTTTCTTTCAGAATCTTCGTGCTGTCATTTGTCTTAGATAACTATTCTCTACTAGTTTGTGTTTCTTGATTCACTCTGTGTGATCTGATCCTCTAGTTTAATATTCATTTGATTAACCTTTTCCTGTGAGAAAAACAGTCTTGCCAGGTTGACCTTGTTAAGGATGGTGGACATGTGTATTTCATTAGATTTCTCGACAGTGTTGAGGCTTATCCAGAACAAAGGGCAATGGCTGCATTTGTCTTGGCAGTCATTATTGATGGTTACAGACAGGGTCAGGCGGCCTGTATTGAAGCAGGGCTAATTAATGTCTGCCTGAAGCATCTTCAGGGATCAATTCCTAATGATGCACAAACTGAACCACTGTTTCTTCAATGGCTGTGTCTCTGTCTGGGAAAGCTCTGGGAGGATTTCACCGAGGCACAAGTGCTAGGTTTGCAGGCAGATGCACCAGCAATATTTGTGCCTCTACTTTCTCAATCCCAGCCTGAGGTTTGTAGTTCAATTGTATGTCAAGTTGGTGTATTCTGTGGTTCTCCATTATTTGTTAGACTTCAACTAAGGAGCAACTTATTTCAGGTACGAGCTGCATCTGTTTTTGCACTAGGTACTTTACTTGATGTTGGATTTGATACATCTAGGGACGACATTATAGAGGATGAAGACTGCGATTATGAGGAGAAAGCTAGGGCAGAAGTCGTCATAATTAGGAGTCTTCTAAGTGTTGTTTCTGATGGAAGCCCTTTTGTACGAGCGGAGGTTGCTGTTGGTATGTTTTCACTGAATTAACACCCCTATCCCAGGAGACTTTTCATTGTGATGCACTTACTGTTGTTTTCTAACCTGCCTTCTGATTTCTCCTATATTTGATCTCTTCTTTTAAGAGTAGTATATTGTAGGTTTCAGTATTGTACCAATTTGATAAATTTGACGATAGTCTTAAAACAGCCTGCGATACATTTCTTGTATGATGAGGACACCTCCTGAACTAAATCTGACTAGACTATGAGTTTTGTTTATCTTTCACTTTGAAGACAAAGCCTAATGCTGAATAGTACCCATTATTTAATAGCATACTACTTGTTGAAAAATTTCTGAGTTGCTCTAGAGCAGGAAAAAGGAGAAGCGAAAAGCAAAAATAAGGATAGAGTGGTGAAATACTTTTCCGTGCTTGCCCTATAATTGTTCAAAAGAACAAATAGTTCAGCTGGCAATCGTTTCATACATGTTTGCATGAGTTATAATTTTTGCCAATGAATATCTACTCCCTTCATAGCACGTCTAATTCTCTGATTTCCTCCCATTCCTCTCCTCTTTATCTTGTGCCTGTACTACTATTATGCATACGATGTATGACTGAGCTAGTTCACATTGCTCCAACTTTGTAGTTTTGGCACGTTTTGCCTTTGGACATAACAAGCACCTGAAGTCGGTTGCAGCTGCATATTTGAAGTCGTCTAATTCCATGATCACTTCCTTGCCTTCTTTTGTGTTCAAGAGTTCAGGTAGTGGCTATACATCCCCAACTCATTATGTTCCACATGGAAATGTAGTTCCATCTCCTATTGCTCCTTTATTGAGAGTGGGAGGAGACAGTCAGTCTATATCTCGTGATGGGAGAGTCTCAACTAGCAGCCCTGTTGCAACACCTGGCTTCATGCATGGATCTCCTTTGTCCGATGATTCTTCTCAACATTTTGATTCTGAAAGATTGTTTGATGCTGTTAGCAATGGTGTTTTTAATCATATAAGACCCAGGCCACTACACAATTCACTCTATTCTCAGTGTGTGCTGGCCATGTGTGCCTTAGCAAAGGATCCATCACCTCGTGTTGCAGGTCTTGGCCGGAAAGTGCTTTCAATTATTGGGATTGACCAAGTTCTTGCCAAGTCTGTCAAGTCAACTGTTGAATCCGCAACAGCTCCTGGCTCTAATTTTGCTGGATTGAATCGATCGTCTTCTTGGTTTGACTTGAGTGGAGGTATATTTGGTGACTCGAAGGAGACTAAGAGTCAATACTATTTTAGTTTCTGTACACCCACAACCCACTACATAAGTATCAACCTTGATGTTCAACGTTCCTACAGATGCTCATTATGCCTTTTGAAGTAATCATTTTAACTGTTGCAGGTGGACATTTACCTCTGACTTTTAGGACTCCTCCTGTTAGTCCCCCTCGGTCCAGTTACTTAACAGGAATGCGAAGAGTTTATTCTTTAGACTTCAGGCCTCACCTAATGAGCTCTCCAGACTCAGGATTAGCTGATCCGCTCTTGGGTTCTGGCGGATCTTCTGGAGCTTCAGAATGCAGTTTTCTTCCACAGTCAACCATCTATAATTGGAGTTGTGGCCACTTCTCAAAGCCACTTCTTACTGCAGCTGATGATAGTGAAGAGATCATTGCTAAGAGAGAAGTGAAGGAAAAGTTAGCTCTTGACCTCATTGCAAAATGCCAGCACTGTTGTGAGTCGACTAGGCTCATGTTTCTTTCCCTCTCTCACCCCCATCTTTCATGTGTACTTGTCATCATTTATCTGGAACGCATCTAATATGGTCAATGCTAACTTCAATTTTTCAGCGGTGAGCAGACTGCATAATCAAATTGCCAGTTGGGATACAAAGTTTGAGAGTGGTACGAAAACTGCTTTGCTGCAGCCCTTCTCATCAATTGTGGTTGCTTCAGATGAGCGTGAATTGATCAGGTAGAGGAATCTCATTGGCCTGAATGAAGGCATTGTTTGCTATGGTTGCTTCGTCACGATCTTCTATTGCTGAACTGCGGGAAGGGTGGGTTAGTTCAAGTACTAGGTTAGTCTAATGGGAGCTATGTGTAATCTGTAGTTCGACCAACAATGCTGATTTGTTGGTAAGCAACCATTCTCTGGTGGAAAGACTAAATGCTGGTCAAAGTTAGGACACAAGTCCAGGAAATATGCTTCGTCTTAAATAATTCACATCTTCTTGGAGCTTCAAGAAAGAGAAGCCATTTATATTGAAATCCTTCTTTGACCTACTCTTGTATGATGCTCGGATCAGGTGTTCTTGTTGGTTATAAAATTTAATGATGTTTTAACATATAAGGTACGTCTAGAGGATATGAGTGATGGATTAATTTGTGGATAGGGGAATCGTGACCTCTTATTTACTTCACTGAATTGGAATCAAATATCATCTATATGGCGAGTGCTCAATTCTCGAGAAATCTCAAGCCTTTCCCTGTGATTCATGCTATGTTTCCCAACAGATTTGCTGCATCAGTTGCTTATTTTTGTTGTTCTTTCTCAGTCTTCTCACCCCTTACGCGCGTCACCTCAGAACAAATCTCAACTTTCTGGCAGTTAGGTTTGAGATGTTGAGTTTCTTTTACATGGTAAAGTTTTTGGCGATTAGGTTTGATATGTTAAGCTTCTTGTACGGGTTAGATGACTGGACAACATTCTACTAGTTTTATTTCTTTGTGCAGTTGCAGAAAATATCGTGGTTCTTGTGCCTTTGTGTATTACAGGGTGTGGAATTACAAGGAGGCTACCCTTCTTAACAGCTTCGACAACCATGGTTACCCTGATAAAGGAATTTCAAAGCTCTGCCTTGTGAATGAGCTTGATGAGAGCTTGCTCCTTGTTGCTTCAGGTAAACATCTGCTGTGACATATGGTTTTCTTTGGGTATTTGATGTTGCACAGATTTAATCAAGATTGATGGTTGATGCCTTAATTTTTAACAAAGTTATCTATAAAAGGTGATGGCAACATACGGATTTGGAAAGACTATACTGAAAGAGGTCAACAGAAACTAGTTTCTGCATTCTCTTCAATTCAAGGTCACAGACCTGTTGCGCGCAGTGTGAACGCTGTTGTGGATTGGCAGCAGCAGTCTGGATACCTGGTATGTATAACGTATTTGATTCTAAGAAGTTAGTAAATGAATGCAAAGCTGTCTGATATTTCCAATTTATTCTACGGAAAAGGGTTCAAAATGCCCCTAAACTATTGGAAAAGGTTTAAAAATACCCTTCATCCACCTATTGGGCTAAAAATACCCCTCCATCTACTTTTTTTATTCACTTATGCCCTTTGACCTTTAGGTCAATGCTAAATTAAAAATAATTATTATTCTTTTTTAAACTTACAAAAAAACTATTTTGCAAAATATTTTCGTTTTTTTAAAATAATGCACCAATAGTTCACTAATTTAGTAAAGTCTTCTTATATTTTTTTTTCAGAAAAAAATCATTTTTTTCAGTTTTTTTAAAGCATTTTTTTTTGTAAAAACTGAAAAAAAATGTTTTTAATAAAATATTTTCGTTTTTGAAAAAAAAAAATTTCATTTTTTTCAGTTTTTTTAAAGCATTTCGTTTTATTTTCATTTTTCAGTTTTTTTTAAAGAAATTTTTTTTTTGTTTTTTTAAGAAAACTGAAAAAAAATATTTTTCAAAAATGAAAATATNTTCAAAAACGAAAATAATTTAATGAAAATATTTTTTTCAGTTTTTAAAAAACGAAAATATTTTATTAAAAACACTTTTTTTCTGTTTTTACAAAAAAAATTTCAGTTTTTACAAAACAAAATGCTTTAAAAAA